GTTATTGATGGGCTATTGTCTGGTGAATTGGGAGACCAGACACTCCCTGCCTCCATCTCCACTCCTGCTTTGAGGAGCCTCTGGCCACATCTTCTTGCCCAGCAATCCCAGGGGAGCTTGGCCAAAGCTAGAGAACACTACACCTGGGCATGGAGAGAAGGGGGCTGGAGAGAGAACAGGTCAGAGAGGACCACAAGCTTTGCTTTTCTCTCTGACTACCTCACCCCTTGCTCCCAACCCACAGACCTGGATCAGCCAGCCAGCCCCTCCCCAGGCCCTAGACTTGCCCATGAGCCAGCTCATGCCCCCTCCTCTTCATCTATTCAAGCCCTGCCTCTTCCAGGAAACATTCCCTTCCAGGTCCAGCAGATGAAGAGTCAGAAACACAAGAATCCAGCCTTAGCCCACCCTGCTTAGATGACCGTTCCTGCCCAGGACAACTCTCACATCCTGTCCCTATTGGGTTAAGGAGCAGGGATTGTTTTTTTCTGTGCCTTCCAGGGATCAAGGTAGGCCTGTGGCCTGGGAGTCTGGCTGCTTCTTGGCCTGGAGGATAGAGGAGGCTGGCCTTCCTGACTCAGAGGCCAGCATGAAGGGTATAGGTAGAAGGGAATTACCCTGCCTTCTTAGGGCAGAATGAGGCCCAATCATGACATACAGGTCATGGCTTGGAGCAATCTTTTTTAAAAATCTTTTTATTGATCTTTTTAGAAACGGGACAGGAGAGGGAGAGAAAGAGAAACATTGATGTGTAAGAGAAACATCTATCAGTCGCCTCATACCCTGACAGGGGATTGAACCTGCAATCCCAGGCATGTGCCCTGACCATGAGTCAAACTAGTGACCTTGTGGTATGATGCTCAACCAACTGAGCCACCCAACCAGGGCTGGAGCAATATTAATCTGAACCTGAATCCCCACCTCCAAGTTCCCCAGGTGAGCAAGCAACAGGGCTATGGTGAACTAGGTCAAAAGGTCACAAGACCTCTCATTTTACCACCATCCATCTAAAGTCTCTGCCTGGCATGCATCCTTCTCAGTCTGCCTAACTATCTCCTTCCCTAGGAGCATCCTTCTGGTCTTTCAAGAATCAGGGGTCTTCCCAGCCAGGAACCCAGCAGCCAGAACAGAACCAAGCTTGGTGTCTGGGATTGGCAGTTAGGAAAAGCCAGGTGGCCTGCATCCTGGGTTTCCAAAACCCTGCCCGGGAGAAGGCCAGACCTTGACAGTTGTTCATGCTCTGAGGCTTTGAGGCGTGTGGAAGACCAAGAGGACAGGCTGGGCAGGTGCTGGAAGTAACCTTAGAGACCTGGGAGGCAGCTCGAGGGCTGGCAGATGGGGATAGGGTCAGAGATCTGGTACATTGTGGCACACAAACCTCTCTGGGGCAGCGTGTGTGTGTGTGTGTGTGTGTGTGTGTGTGTGTGTGTGTGTGTGTGTGTGTGTGTAAGCAGGGACAGTGGCACACAGGTTCCATTCCTGTGGTGTGTGACTTGGAGGGTGGTCAGAGGTCAGTGGAGAGTGAGGGTGGCTCCAGAGCCTGTGCACCATTTATCATTGTCCTGTACTTTTCCACCGCTGACCTCTGCTCACAGCAGCAGCTCCTGGGAGCCAGACCACACATTTGCCTTAGTTATGACCTTACAGAAGGACAGCAAAGTCCTTCGTCTTCCCTCCCACTGACAGCTGGGCTTGGGCCTGGCCCCCACAGGACCACCTGGCTAGAGTTTGTCAGACACATACATACCCCTCCAGCACCCAGCCAGGTGTGGGGGGTTACATTTCCCAGCAGCTTGGGACCCAGGGCTGCTGCACTGTGCCTCTGAACCCTCCCCACCATGGCTGGGTTAAGTGAGCCCCAGGACAGTGGCATGGCCAACAGCAGCTCCCCCAGGCCCAGCTAGAGGCCAGGCCAGAGCACTAGAGACAGAGAGGGAGGGCATCATCTTGCAGATGCTGTGTGGAAGCAGGTCCTGGAGAGGCAGGCCCCTGGGCTCTGAGACTGAACTGGAGACCTATTTCCCTCAGGGGCCTGAAGGTCCTAGAACTTGGCCTTCCATGTGCCCAGCTGTAGGCACAGAATAGGGGCTGGGAGCAGGGAATGAGTTGGTCCCCTTCTCTACTTCTGTGTGGAATCAGCGGCCCCTCTAGCTCTTCAGTTTCTAGAATAACATCAAGACATGGAGGAGTCAGCTGTGCCAGGAAAAGCCATTATCCTGACAGCCTCCCTCCACTTGCTAAAAGCTCTCTCCTTCCCCTGGGGCCTCACCCCTCCAGAGTTATTTCATCTCCACTCACCTAGCCCTGACCCACCTCTCTGGTGTGTGTCTGAGGGAAGGGAGGAGAGGAGCTTGCTTAACTCTTTCTATACCTGAGTGAAGTCAGCACCAGAGTCAGCTCCCTTGGCCTTGCTCATGGTTCTTCCTGTCTTTCCACCTGGTGTTCCTCCTGCCAGACACACAGGAGCTAATGTAGAGAAGGGGAGGACAAGAGGCCAAAGCTAACAGGAGGATGAAAGACAGGCTGACAATATGGTCATGAGTTCCAACCTGAATCTGTCACTGCACTGCTTGTGACTTAAGGCCTTCACTCACCCTTGGTTCTGTCTTCTTAGTACACTGGGAGGCCCCCAGGGGATACAAAAAGACTGTGCATGGTGCAGGAGCTTTGAGGCTTTGAGTAGTGTTTAGGGCAGGAGTGGGCAAACTTTTTGACTCGAGGGCCACAATGGGTTCTTAAACTGGACCGGAGGGCTGGAACAAAAGCATGGATGGAGTGTTTGTGTGAACTAATATAAATTCAAAGTAAACATCATTACATAGAAGGGTACAGTCTTTTTTTTTTTTTTTAGTTTTATTCATTTCAAACGGGTCGGATCTGGCCCGCCGGCCGTAGTTTGCCCACGGCTGGTTTAGGGTGTAGAAGGGCTGACTTCCTGGAATACCCCCTCCCTTAGTGCTTCCACGGAAGAGTGGAGGTGAGCATCCTGCAGGCAATTCACAGAGCAGGCGGACAAGAGTGGGTAAGAGGCTGCTTTGAGTCCGAGGCCTCTGACTTTGAGGACAGCTGTCGGGGGAGAGAAGCGGAGCACAGAGTGGCAGCAGGAGGGTTATGATTGCACCCTTCAGTCAGCAGAGGTCATAGAGCCTCTGCTCTGCATGAGGGAGGTACCTGGGGGTGGGGCAGGCTGAGCTCCAGGCCTCCAGCCATGATGCCTTCTCCTCTCAAGCCTGACAGCCCCCTTGGCAGGGTGAGCCCTGAGTCTGAGGAAGGCTCCAGCTCTCTGGGAGACCCAGCCCTGCTCCCCTCAGCCCTCCATCAGTGCTCCCTCACTCCCCTCCATGTGGCCCTCAGGCAGGTCCCCGTTGAGAAACACCCAGGTTGTTTATACCACAAATGAGGGACCATCAGGCCCTGGGCCTTCTGTGTACAGGAGCGTCACACTTTCTCCCCAGCCCTTCCAAGTACCCTTGAGGGCAGCACTACTCAGAGAGCGTGGGCTCAAAACCCAGCTCTGTGTGGCTAAAAGCTTGTACTCTTTCTAGGACTTCAGCCAAAGACCCTCGCTTGTAGACAATGGGGAGACATCAGGCCAGAGACAATTAAAATTATTATTATTAACACTTTATGGTATTTAACAATGTGGCAGGCACTTTACACATAATATTTCACTTCATGCCCACAACAACCCTGCATTTATCATCCCCATTCACATGAAGGAAGGAAGACACAGCAAGGTTACATACCTTGCCCAAAGTCACCCAACTAGTAGGGTATAAAGCTGGGATTTGGAACCCAGATGGTCTGAATCAGGAACCCTGTTTTGGACTCATACAGCCCCTCAGTCAAAGCAGAAGGGGAGCTTGGAGATGGGGCTCCCACAAGATTGGTCACCCATAGGAGTAGGGTTGTGACATGGAGAGAGCAAGGAGTCAGGCTACTGTGTCACTCAGTCCAGAGGATGGAGGGAGCAGTGAGGGCCAGGGGCAGAGTGCTTTCTGGAGGAAAGGAACAAGCTGGGCTGGGACGGCCCACAGGCTGGTGCTACTAACACCTGGGCAGATGGACTCCCACGCCCCTCACTCCCTTGGGGAACTTCTGGGAGTGGGGCCAAGACTGGTGAGGACACCATCTCTGCTCTCCGCCCCCGGGTGCTGTTTATGCACCCAAGTGTGTGGTAAGGCCCCCCTGCCACAGACTCTCCAAATGACCCCTTACCTGTGACTGCTGCACCATTACAGCTCCGACATAAAAACCTCCTCAGCAGAACAAGTATTAACTCTCTCGCTGAGCTGTTTGATGGCTCTGGATCTCAGGGACTCATCCCAGAGACCTGTGAGATGCACTGGATGCAGAGGGCCCAAGCCCCAGCCCACCTTGGACAGCTTGGCACTGCACCACCTGTGAGTGCTTGAGGGCCAGAAACTCTTCACCCCACCCTGCCCCATGCCCAGCTCCAGGAGCCCAGCCCAGGGCACAGCACATAGCGGGTGCTGCAGAAGGCCTGCGTGTGCTCATTGGAAGGTTTCAGAGCTGGGGGAGCTGGGCTAGAAGCTTAGGGAAGTGAAGGGCAGCCAGGCAGTACCACGCAGCCACCCTGCCCAGAGGCCTCCTCCCACCACACAACCTAGAGAAGATGTCAAGACGATAACGAGAGTCTGTGTACACAAGTGCCTGCTGGGGAGTCCTGCACTGGCAGAGGCAGGAAGACAGGCAGGCAAGGTGTCTCCCCCACTCCCACCCCACCCTGAGCTCTGGTGCCTGCGTCCATGTGAAAGCCTCAGAGGTGGCCGGTGAGACGGTGTGGTCACCCGAGCAGGCAGAACAGCAGAAGACAAACCTGGCTCCCCCTGGGCCTGAGGTGACATGAGTATCTGCCTGGGAAAGAGATCTCCCTGCCCTGTCCACTCCTTGCTCAGATTTATGGACTGTGGAGTCAGGAGGGGTGAGGAGCAAGCAGGACGCCCTCCCTCTGACTCAGCCTGCCCCTCCCCTCCCAGGAAAACCACGTCTGAGGAAGCAAAGAACCAGGACTCCAAGGCAGTCACATCTGTGACCTCAGAGCCTACCAAAGCCCCCATCTGGGGTGACACAGTCACAGTGGAGATCCAAGCTGAGGATGTGGGGCAAGAAGGTGAGACAGGGGGCTGACAGGGGGCTGGGTGGGCCTGGTGTGTGTGGGAGGGGGTAGTAGGCTCCCTCTCAACTCAGCTGGAAGCCACCTGAATGCCTCCTTGGGTTCAGTTAAAAGCACTTTAAAGAAAAAAATTATAATACTGTCATTCCTCATCTACCTAGCCTGCTGGAAAAATGAGTTGTCCTACATAAATGAATTTTCTAGATGATGGAAGCTTATCTTCTTTATGACCATTGTTGTTATTTCCACGGTTGTTATTGCTGCATTTCCCACTGACACAGCACATCACAGCTTCCTGGCACACCCCAAGTCTCGCTCAGAGGAGTCGCACCAAAGAGGAACCATGCTGCTCCCACTGCCTAGGTGGGAACACTGAGGTTCCGGGGACTTAAGCAACTGGCTCAAGCTCAAGTAACCAATGAGTGGAGGGCTGAGGGACTCAGCATCCAGGAGCTCACTGTAGGTCCAGCGTTTCAGCTGTTTTCCTACACGGCTTCCTACCCTGCCTGGTCCTGCCCAGCGCTGTCCACAGCAGTGTTCCTGTGCTTCCAAGGGGCGGGTCTGCTCTCAGAAATGGCCCGATAATCCTCACTCCTCCCCCCAGAAGCCTTTCCAGTCCCCATGTCCTGACAAATGGGAACACTGCAGGCACTTTAAGGCACGTGAGCACGCATGCATGTGCACACTTGTGCTTTCTCCACTGGGGCCTGAGCAGGTGAGAGCTCTGCTCTCTGGTGTTATCTAGTCAGAAGAACTTCAGGCTCCCACCCCTTAGGCAGGCCTTCTCTCAGGTGACAGGCTTTCCTTCCTCCTTGCACCCTCACCACACCCCACAAAGCGCAGGAAGCCCCTGTGAAGACAGTGAATGGGGAGAGAGAAAAAGATTGAAGAGGGACATAAATCAAAGGGAAAGAGGCTAGTCTTGGGTCAAGCCAGAGGACTTTTTTCCACCATAAAGGGATAGGTGGGGCTGTTGGGATGATACAAGAAAATGTGAAAGGAGGAAAAAATTGACCTAGGACTTCGTACAAATGCAGATGTGTACCTGTCTTTGTGCATGTCTGCATGCTGGTTCATGTGTATGTGTGAACATTGTGTGTGTTCAAAAATGTGCTTGTGACTGTGCCTGTAGGCATGCATGTCTGTGTGTGCAGCGTGTGCCTGTGCGTGTGTGTGTGTGTGTGTGTGTGTGTGTGTGTGTGCCTGCATCTATGTGACTGTGGCAAGTGAATCTGGACTGGGATCCCGCCCTGGGTTCTACACAGCTGGGGTAACACAAGAAAGGATGTGATGAGTGGCCTCAAGCCTATCTGTGTAGCAGAGAGGGAAGCAGGGTTCACTGTAGGAGGGACAGGAGGTGGGGACCCTGCCCTGGCAGGCAGGGAATATTGACAGACACCTCTTTTCAGATTGAAGTAGCTGGATGCTTGTTGGAAATGGTTGCTGTGGTGATGTCTACAGTGGGAGGGTTGGGGAGATGGAGGACCAGCCAAGAGGTGGGGGAAGGGCAGGAGGTAACTCAGTGATGTGTTAATGAAAAGCAAAGGGGGGTTTCAGACCCTGTGTCAGGGCAAAGCAGGCTGGCAGTAGAAATAGCTCGCTGGCCTCGCAAAGGACAGTGGGAGGCTGAGGGGCACAGTGCCCAGAGAAGAAGCTGATGAAGCATGTTTGTAGCATAGGGACAGGAACAGGGAGGTATGGCTGTCCATTCACCCCAATTCCAGCTCATCTGCTGGCTGCCCACACAGAGATTGGGGTGGGGGGAAAGGTAGGGGCCTCACCCCTTGTTTGACCTCAGCAAATTCCAACTGGATTTGGGGGCTCAGAGCCCATGGGTAATGGCCATGCGGGGCTGCAGCCTCCACAGCTACTGTTGTAGCTTTGGCTTGGAGCACTGGAATCCCCCAGCTGAGTCTTCTCGGTCTGCTCAGGTTGGGTGAACGTGTGGAGCGCTACAGATGGTTAACGAGAAGGAACGCAGTGACAGCTATGAGGAGCACTTGCTTAGAATTTTATAGCTTGAAAAACACATTCCCCTCCCTATAACAAGATTAGGAGAGGGACAGAGTTTTTTCTTTTTAAAGTTTTAACATTTTGCAGAGCAGGAACATGAAGCTCAGAGAGGTTAAGTGACTGGCTAAATGTCACAGAGCAAGTTTGTATGTTGGTAACTAGGACCCAGATTTGCTGACTTCAACTCCCTTGTTTTACTCTAGTTTCTTCAAGGCAACCTCAAACCCTTTTGGTGCACAGTTGCCCCTTCCCTTTAAGTGTGGATCCCATATGGCTAGCTCTGAGGGAATGTGGCAAGTGTCTTTCCCTCTCTATGTGTCCTGGGTTGCTTTGGGGAGAAGAAAGAGAGTAAAAGTAATCAGTAAAGCCCTCAGCTTCCACCTCCACCCCCTAATCCAAAGGACTCACCCAGCTCCAAGTGGCCAGCAGCACTGAGCTTCCAGCCTGCCTCACCCACAGAACAGGCAGCTGTACCTGGTTCTGAAATGTCATTGTCTCAGGGAAGAGAGGCAGAGGCCAAGAGGGCTACACAAGAAGAGTACACTTGTCCACCTCAATCCTCTCTCCCATTATGCTCTAGGCCTCTCTTTTACCTCCTTTCCTCCTCCATCTCCCTCAATCCTTCTCACTCCTTCATCCACCCTTCCACTCCTTTCCTCTCTCCACAGCTCCTCTTCCTCTTCAAATCATAGAACTCCAGAGTAGAAAATGTCTCAAGAGTCACCATACTCAGCCTCTCCCATCAGCCTTTTACTAGCTGTGTGATGTTGATCAGTTATACAACCTCTCTGAGATCCAGTGACCACATTTAAAAAACAGAGATGGTGATTCCTTCCTACTTAAGGGTGAGGATTTGTTGGAATAGGCTCAGGAGCACCCATCCCCATGCCTGGCACACAGCAGGTGCTCGCTAAGTAGTGCTGTCATGACTGTTTTCAGGTCATTGGTGTTCTCCTTGGATTTCATCCGAAGTTTATGCATTTTTATGGCAAAATATAGCGTCTTTAGAGGGAGTTTTCTAAATAGTGCATCATTCTTAGTGTTTAGTTTTCATGTAGTTGGAGTAGACTTTTACTGAGAGTTGTATTGAAGATTTCTTGAGTAGATCTCTTTGCAAAATGTGAGAGATAATCCCTGCCTGAGGAACAGGTGAGAGTGTTTGTGACCAAGGGAAGGAGCCTTATTCCTGGAAAGGGGCACTATTCTTGCTTACTTGTGTGGCTCTGAGCGTGTACATGTATATCTCTGCCATGGGGGCTGAGCTCAGTTCTGCATGTGTCCATCCCTGAGCTGGGAGTTTCTAGACCAGCTAGATGAGAATGGCATCTTTGAGTTCTAGCAGCATTTAGCATAGAGCCTTATCCTGTGCAGGGGCTCAGGCAGTGCTTGTGAAGTGTGCCTGTGTGTGTCCCACATGTGTGCCTGCATGTAGATTCCTCAGTGTGGCCCCTGCTCCCCTACTCTCAGCAATGTCTCTCACCTCAGAGGGTGGGACAGGGGTCAGCTAAGCCTGACCCTAACTCCGTGCTCCATTTTTCTCTCTCCAGATGTGATCCTTAAGGTGGTGGACAACAATAAAAAAGAGGAGCTGCTGTTCTACCAAATCCCCATCAAGTACTTGCGTGTCTTCCACCCCTACCACTTTGAGCTGGTGAAGGTGAGTCAGCCCTGGGCACTGGCCCACACTGGCCTGGGACAGGTAGTGGGGAGCCCCCAGCTATCCCCTCAGAGTGGCTCTGGGCATCCATGCCCACCCTGCAGTGTGGCCTGTCTAGGACCTTGTGGGGCTCAGAAAACACAGCTCCTGGCAAATAGACAGGAATGATATCCATAAAAATTTGGAATTCTCCAAATTGATCTTCATAAAACAGCCAAAATGGCATAGAATATCTACCACATAAAATGAATACACCAACTGAAAATGCATTCTGATTTCATATATGTTGAAAGAGTAAGAGTATATCTAAAAATCAATGCCATACAGTATTTGCAAAGTACCTGCTATGTTCTAGGTCCTGGGCTATATGGTATACACACCATCTCTAATTCTCAAGATGAATTCTACTTTGCATACATAGGACTGAGACTCAGGAGAGAAGAATCCTCTCATCCTGGATCACAGAGCAAGTCAGGTGCAGAGACAAGGGTGAGTCCAGGTGACGCCATCTCCCACCCAGTTCACTCAGTGCTGCCTCCACATGCTACCTTGGCAGGAGAAAGCCTGAAGAGAGCTGGGGTACATGGGAGATAAAGTGTTCCCTGGAATGAACCCATCTAGTGGGCCTCTGGCCACTCATTTTATGGTCTGAACGTCCAGGCCAGCTCCCCTGCCTGCCCCCCTCCCCAGAGCTGATTGGTAGAAAGGAGAACTTACTCTCTCATTGCTCAAGTACTTATTAAGTACCTACTGTGTGCCAAGCACTGGGCCAATGAAAAGCAGAAGCATCATTTCTCTCTCCTCCATTGTGCATTCCAGTTCCCTACAGTGGTTCAGAGTAAAGAACAATGCAAAGTTGGATTGTTGGGCTCCTCTCTCAGGTCTTCTGCTTGCTAGCTATATATCCATAGGAATATATGCTTATCCCCACGGGCCTCCATTCCTCATCAACAAAATTAAGATAATATGCCTCCTAACATGGCCTTTTGGAGGATCAAGTACAATAATGTGCATAAAGTACCTACTATGCTCAGCGCATAGCAGGTGCCCAGTTCAGGCTAGTTCCCTTCCTGCCTCCCTTCCCCAGGCCCTGGTACTGACATCCTTTTCAAGTGACTCCTCAACCATGATCTTAGGGGCCTGAAAGTTCCCTACGCCTCAAGGAGAACCCCACACTCAGGACCTCAGAATGAGGCAAGGAAGCAAAGCCCAGAGAGATTAGTGACTCACGTGGGAGACTCAGTACTTCAGCTGTAGTTCTGGGAGCATCACCCAGGCCTCCTGGCTCTCTGTCCAAGACTAGTTATCACATCTTTACAAAGACAGCTGGCAGGCATGGTCCTTGGGAGGGCAATGAAATATTCAAATAGACAAGGGAAGATTTATTATATTGATCTCCTTGGAAGGGCTCACAGGGAGCCTTTAATTATCAGCTCGGCGCCCCGGTGGAGCAATGCCAATGCTTGTCTGCAGAGGGCTGGATTTATGGCCAGGGTCTGCTTCTTAGTCAAGCTTCTTCTTATGTGTCTTCTTCCCTGACTCTATTCCCAGCCCACCAAGACTGGGAAAGCTAATGAAGACACTGCCAAGACCCACCTGTACGCAACTGTTGTCCGGAAGGGCAGCTTCATCCCCCGCCAAGTTGACGGTAACCACAGAGCTCTGGAGGTGCCAGCCTGGGGCCCTTTGGGGTTGGGGCAGGGTGGAAAGGGGTGAAATTTAGATGGTGTGGGGCAGAGGTGTCTGGGGAAGACTGGGACTTTCAAAATAGCAGAAGTGGTTTGTGAAGAATAGCCGTGGGATGGCAGAGGTGATAGAGATGGAGAAGAAGATAAATGATGCCTTTCCAGGCAGACAGCCCTGCCCTAGCCTTGTTTTCCCTCACTCTGCTCCTCACACACCACCATGCAGGGAGTGCTACAGGGAGGACGGAGGCTCCCAAAGTGCAATGTCTGTCTGAATCTCATGGGGGCAGGAAAAGCCCACCACCTTGGCTCACATCTGATTATTTCTCTCCTGTTCTGTCCCTCCCAGAGTAGTGACCCCTGACGTAGGGCCTACATCCCCCAAGTGAAAGTTTTAGGGCCACCCTATATTTCCTTGAATCCTGTTTCTGAAGAGCTTTGGCTAATCTTCTAATTAGGTATTCATTCATTCATTCAATAACTATTTATAGAGCCTTCCATTAGCCAGGCCAGGCACAGGCCCTATTTCCACACATACCCACCACCATTATTTTCTGTACTAAGCCTTTCACAGCTTCAGGAGGATTAGCAATGCTCCAGGAAGATATAGTCCAGATACTTAAACTCCTCTCCTTTCCCTCCCAGTCTTCAAACTGCCGAGGAGTGACAGATTCAAATCCAGCCATGACCTGCATCTGATCAGGGTGGAAGCAGGGAGGCCCAAGCTTCAGGCTTCCCCTGCCCCGACATGGGTGCTCTGATCCACCCCATAACACTGTGAGCTGACAGAGCAAGGAGTGTTCTTCAGTCCCATTTCACAGCTGGGGCCATGGAGCCCCAAGAACAGTCTGGTATAGGAGTGCAGATCTCCTGACCCACACATCTGCTTCCCCACAGCCACCTCATGGATGCCGGCATGTGTCAGACCTGTAGGCACATTCTGCTCCCCTCACCCCCTCTTCAATCATGCTCTTTCCTGCACACAGAACACCTTGACCTGCAGGGGGCTCACTGTGGATCAGCCACCCGCTTTAGAGTCTGGGCTCCTCTGCCCTCCAGTACCCTCCCCACTCCCCTCCCCCTGCATAGATGTCCTCCCTATAGGCTCCTGAGGGCAGACCAAAGAGGACAGTGGGAGAAGAAATTGCTCCTATTACTCACAGGGTTGTCATGAGCAGGTGTGCTTGGGCAGCTGTCTCATCCGACACCTGACCATTCAGCCCAGAACAGTGATAAATTAGCCCCCCCCCCTCACCTTTCAGACCCCCCTCTTAGCCCTTACACCTGTTGGAGTCCCTGTAAGCAATAGAGCCTGACAGCATTCCAGTAAAAATACCCCAGGCCCAGACTCCCACCCCCAACCCAAGTTTGAAATGCCATCATCAGAGATTTCATCATTTGAATTTGGTGAAGGGATTCAGTCTTCAGAGGCCCCCACAGCTGAAAGCCACTAAGCACTATTTTAAATCCTTATCAGCTCACAACTGTGTGGAGTTAGCTGGCAGCCAGCTGAGGTGAGTCAGGGTTGGGTCCTGACCAAGGGGCTTAGGAGAGGGAGCTGACGGTGGAGGGGAGAAAAGGGAGAGGGGTCCAGAATAAGTCCCTACTCCTAGGCACTCTCCTCCCATTGAAGATCAGAACTAAAAGGACCAGGGAGATTATGGTCAACCCCTTAGTGTACAAGTTAGGACATTAAGGCCCAGAGTGGAGCAGGGACTGGCCACAGTGACTTAATGACCCAGACTTAGTAAGTGGCTGAGCTAGATTAGACCTATAGTAAGGATTCCACCCAGCCTCCAAGACTAGCTCAACCCGAGCCCTCTCCCTGAGGCCACTGCTATTCTTCTCCTTCCCCCTCCCAAGTCTCTATGGTTGTTTCTCTCACCCTCATAAACACAGTCAGCTTCTTCCTACCCTTTCTCCCCTTTTCTCTTCATTGATGGCATTCATTTATCCCACAAACACACATGTGGCTTCTACTCTGAGCCAGGTGCTTTGGCTAAAAGCTGGAAATACAGCACTGAATGAGGTAGATAAGTCCCTGCCCCTGTGGAGCCTGGGGGGCTAGAGATGTGGGCCAAGGGGCAGACAAGCCAATTTGTGCAGGCCTTGACTATCGTGGTAAAAATTATGGCATGTATTCTAAGGGTAGTGGGGGAAAGGGAGGTCACTGCTGAGTCTCAAGCAGAGGAATTACATAATCTAATTTCTTTTTAAAACAGCAATATTTGCCACCACGTATCAAATTGCCTGGGAAAGGGGATGGTTTAGGGACAAGAGCAGAGGCCAGTGAGGGGGTCAGAGAAGTAAAAGGAGCCGCAGGAATCTCAGCTGGGGGAACAAGGAGTGAGGACCCAGGTCCAGATCAGGAGCTGCCTGGGATGGCAGTGGAGGTATGTGGGACAGAAGCCGTGTCTTCTCTCGCTGCCCACCCAATGCCTGGCACAGGGCCTGAAGGATAGCAGCCTTGAGCAGAGAAAGACCCTAGAGAGGCAGGAGCAGGTGCAAAGGTATAGAGGCAGAAATGAGCCCATCTTCGGAAAGAAAGATGGCAGGCAGGCTAGCTAACCCTGCTCCGGAGAGGGCCAAAGGCCACTTGAGGCTCACTTGCCTCCTCTCTTCCCCAGGTCTTTGTTCGGGGAATAAATGAGACCCTAATCAACAACCCCAGCCCCATGGTGGTCATTGCCCGGGTGGTTCCCAACTACATGGAGTTTAAGTGAGTAAGGCCCAAGCGGTGTGAGCAAGAAGGGAGGGGGGCAGAATGCAGAGGAGAGGGGTGGCTAGAACCCCGCCCTCCCCACGAGGCCCTTCAAGCCTCCCCATTGGGACTGAGGACCCAGGAAGCTACCCACAGCCCCTGGAGAGGGGCATCTCAGACCTCTCCTGAGAGCAGGCTGAGGGGAGTCAGCATACAGATGAAGAAAGGGGGTCCTCAGCCCTTTCAATCTACCTCTCCATCTCATACCCACCACTCGAGTTCAGGCCAAGGTGGTTCACTATCTGGTGGTTGTTCCCAAAGAAGGCAGCCTAAGGGTCATCTCAGAACTTCACGACCTTTAGCCGTGCCCAAGGGTCCCCTCCCTTGCCCTCCATGGGGCTCGCTGGCCGCAGCCCCAGCTCCTCCCCCTCCCCCCAGACCTCTTTTTGGGTATGGGCTTTCACAGTCCTCAGGAGGGGATTCCGTCTAGATTGGCCCTGGAGACACACAGTGCGGAGAGTTCCCCAGGAAACGTGTGCCCTCTGTGACAGCACCATCTCCTGAAGCCATCTGCCTCTGTCACTTCCACTGACTGATGGTCCGGGAGGATTCCCTGACTCATCTGCTCCATTGTTGAATTCTGACGAACTATGAGCCCTCCTTGCTGGTTGGAGGAATGAAGATAACTGATGCCCTCACTCCCAGCCCTCCTATGAGCTCAGGGAGTGCCACCCAAGCCTAACCAGAATTCCACCATGGGGGTGGGCCATTCTCACAAGGTCTTCCAAAGATGAGGCAGGGATGCAAGACCCATGTTAAAGATGGGCAGCTGGGACATTCAGATGTGGCCAAGGCCACGGTGAGTCATGGGGAAGGAAACGTGGGAGCTGCATCCCATCCCCTGACCAAGATGAGCTTTCCCAAGGCCCTGAATAGTGATCAGAAGGACCAGGACCCATTACCTGTCCTAGTTGGGCCACTGCACTTCCTCTCTCACATCAACCCTGAGTCCACTTGGGGGCCCTTGGCTGCCAGGCTTGGGCACAGCGTCAAAAGTGCTGGACACAGGGCCTGAAGGATGGTAGCCTTGAGCAGTGCTTGACCCCTATCTCCTTGCCTCCCCAGGGTCAGTCAGATGAACCAGGACCCAGCCTCCCTGGGGTTGCCCTTTACCCCCCTCTCCTTCCCTATTCCTTCTGTGATGAACTTCGATGTCACCCAAGTCAGCCAGAACGGGTGCCCTCAGGTATGGCTCCTTCCCTGCTTCACTCCCTGCAGGTCCAGACCTAGTAACTCCCCCACATTCCTCAGTCCCTCCCGCAGCCAGGCAGCTGTTCACTTGCCTGTGGAGCTGTGCGCCTAGGGTGGTGCCCTCTGTGCTGCGGAGAAGCGGCCCACAGGGAGCTCTTGGTCTGGTGAAGGGTAAACATCAACAGCAGGTAATGGATAATCTAATAACAAACCAGGAGGGGCTTTCAGAGCTGTAAAAATCAGAGGAGAGAAGACAGAAAGAAGACAAATATTGTGATTCCACTTACATGTGGTACCTAGAGAGGCAAATTCAGAGACAGAAAGTAGAATGGTAGTTGCCAGGGACTGGGGCCAGGGAGAACAGGAAAGTTAGTTTTTAATGGTAAAGAGTTTCTGTTTGGGATGTTGGAAAAGTTCTGAAAGTAGATAGTGGCTAAAGTGGTAAATTTTTGTTGTGTATATTTCACCACAATAAAACATTTTTTTAATCAGAGGTGAGAGGGATATGAAGTCTGGGCATCCAGCTGCGGGACTTGAGTTTTTAGTAGGGAGTGTTGGTGCAGGGCAAGTGGGAACAAGAGCACAGGTGTGCAGGTGGGGGTGCATGTCAGGGTGGGAGAGGGGCCAGTGTGTCTGAGTATGCTGGGGAAGGATGTGCAGAGAGTCTGAGTCCAGGCGAATGGCCAGATCCATCTTTTCCCATGGTCTGCACCTCAGCAGGAGCTTGCCCCACATGATAGTCCCAGCATTCCTAGGGGCCTTAAAGAAGACAGGGTGCTTGGGAAGTTCTTCCTGTTGTCTGCCCACCAATGTTCATGCCTGACATGGCAAATGTAAAATGAGGCACTCTTTCAGACCCACAACCCTCATTTAAAGGCAGACATTTGAAGAAGGTTCGGACGGACATGGACAAGAGTGATGGTGGTAGGGAGGGGTGGAACAAAGGGGGACCCTGGGGACAAAGGCTTCAAACTCAAGCCAATCCTTGGCCTGATTTCCCCAGAGTCATCTCACACATGGCCCTGCATTTGCCCAGAAAATTATAAACCAATCAGCAGGCAGTCCCAAGGGGCAGGAGGCATGGCTGCTTTAATGAGTGAACCTCTCCCCACCCCCAGCCCTTCTCTGGCTGCTTTTGCTGCCTGGCTAGTCTGGGTGGCAGAGGGACCCCTTAATACAGAAACTTGCCGCAGTGCCTCTTGCATGTGTGGGACTCAAGGCCAGAGGTCCAGCGATGGCAGAACACTTGTTGAAGGTCACCCAGCACTATGGCAGTTGGACCAGGTTGAAAGCTCACTGGCAGCCAGCACAGAGGTGCCCAGGTGCCAGCAGTGAGAGGCGAGCTTCTGTGGTACAAGTGAGAAGAGGGGGTTCGTGGGCAGAGCCCCACCTGGAAGGGACACCAGTCAGCAGCCCTGCGCTCAGAACTCACACAGACCCCTGCCCTGTCCCCACTCTGAGCTTCAGTTCCTTCTTCTCTCTAGTTGGGGCGCTGGGATGATCCTAGGATCTGCCTCTCAGACATGCTGGAGTGATTTCCCACCAGCTGCCCGTCAGGCCAAAGCACTATGGGCAGGGGTTTGAGGCTGGACCCACCTCTGTGATTTGCTGAGTGACCTTTGGCAGCTGCCCAATTTCTCTAGACCTGCTGATTACCACCTTAATGGGCTGTTAGGAAAATGTAGAGGTGCCCAAGCCTGGGGTGGAGGCTAAATGGGCTCCATCCTTTTTACAGATGCCCCTCCCTTGATGCCAAGTGCCCCTTTTGAGGCCAGCCTGGACATTGCCCTTGTCATGTTTGGCTATAAGTAACAGGAACCCCAACTCACATGGACTTAAGTTCTAAGGAGATTTATTGTCATACATCAAAAGGGTCCCCCATGTAGGATGCTGCTAGAATTGGTTGATCTACTGGCTCAGCAGTGTCCTCATGGACTCAGAGTCTTTCCAACACCCCTGAAATGCCATCTTCAGCTGGACAACAACTCATGGAGGCAAAATGTTCTCAGCATCCCATCTAGATATGACCAAGACCAGAGGAAAAGGGTCTTAATGAGGAACTTGAAACCTCCCCTGCAGCCCCTGGCAGACCACCCCTCTCATCTCATTGGCCAGAACTAGGTCACATGCATTTCTCTCAGCCATTCCTGAGGAGGAGTATGACATCACCTTGCAGTAGCTAATGCAGGAGAAGGGGCCTACTGGCCCAAAGTGGGTTCTGTTGGCTAGGAGGGAGGAGGGGAATGGTTGAGAGGTAGATGGCCCTCAGTGTCTGTTCACCTCTCTCAGAGCCTGGGAATGATGGCAAAATCTGAGCTCTGATGAGTCTGCTGGACCCAGCACAAGTCTGAGACTTAGGACTTACTCCTCCCCTCCTCCCAGAACCTTTGAGGGGGGACATTGCCCAACAGGCTGCTCCTGTTGGCCTGGCTTCCTACAGAGCTGAGGCAGATCCTGGCTAATGAAACAAAAGCAGTGGTGAGAGCAGCTGTCTGCGCCCAGCGTCCTCTCCTGCCTCAGCCTCCACAGCCAGTCTGTACCCAACCTCTCATGGGGCCCTTGTCATCCCACAGATCCTGCCCTAGTGCTGGCCACTCCTCCTCTCAGGCCTCTCCCATCCATCTGGTGAGAAGCAGCCACAGCGGCCTCCTGCCCAGGGCTAGTCCCTTCCTCTGGACCCCTTGTCCCTGTCACCGATAGGACAAAGCCCTCCCTGTCAGCCAGATACACAGGCCTCATTTCCTCCAGCCTCCTGGCTCACTGCTCCAATTCTCACAGGCATTCTCTAGTCCCACTGGGTAACTGGCTTTCTCCACCCCTGTACTGTCCTCTCTCACCTCTCAGTCTTCACCTCTACTGTACTCTGAGCCTGGATGGTCTTCCTCCTCATTACCGACTACATGATCTTAGGTCCTCACTTCCCCAGGTCAAAAATCATTGCTTTTTCCTCTGACATCCTAGCTTCCACAACCTGCAATTTGCTTAGGCCTCTGCATGGATCATGGGCAGGTGAGGGGCTATCCCCTTGGAAGATGATGAGCTCCAGAGGGGAGCAGGCTCTGGCTCTAGCTCCCCCATATGCCCTTTAACACAACAGAGGCATCTAGCATGGAGAAGCCCCTAGCCCAGTCGATGTTTGCTGAGTACAATTGAATTGAACTTTCACCTTCACAGCAAAATATCTATTGTCTCCTTCAACCCTCACAACAGCTCATCGGGGCATGGAGCAGAAGGCATTGGATGGTGACAAATCTAAGTTACAGAGAGGAGAAAGGACTTCCCAAAGGTCACACAGCAACGATGAGATAGACCCGGGTCTCTTGGCATCTTAGCTCCCTTGAAGCCCCATGCAGCATCAGCTATTGGTAGCTAATCTTCCCAGCATGCCTGTCACATGCTTGAGCACAACAGGCAGCAGTGGGTGTGGGGATGGGAGTGGGTGTGGGTGTGGGGATGGGAGTGGTTGTGGGTGTGGGTATGGGTGTGGGTGTGGGTGTGGGTGTGGGTGGGTGTGGGTGTGGGTGTGGGTGTGGGTGTGGGTGTGGGTGTGGGTGTGGGTGTGAGGGTGGGTGTGATGGGCCCTGGGAAATGGAAGGAGAGACCACAGCCGTGTAATGAAGACTCTCTCTCACAGGAAGGCACGTCTGCCTCAGTGGCTGGAAGTTAAAGGCTTTGCTGAAGGTCACAACTGAAGAGTAATCACATTTCTTAATTCCATAGCCCCATGGTCTTTCCGGTTAACAACTGCGGCAACTGGCTTCCCCTTCCCCCTCCCCCACCTCCACCCCCCATTCTCCTGCCTTCCCTACCCAACACATATGCCACAAGCACCTTCACCAGGGCCCTAGCATTAGACTCTGAAGGTGGTCTAACCTTGATACCTTCCTAGATTCCTGCTCCCCCACTCCGTCCCCTGCCCACAACACACACAGGAGAGGCTGACCCACCCCCCACCCTCAATTCTAAGTCTGAAGGGGACTTATTTTCTGGGAACTTATTATGTGAAAACATTCAGGGAAGGAGCTGTCCATACTGGGCAGGCAGATACCATTTCTGGCCTTGTAGACTTCATCTGACACATGAATAGACCACAGAGAGGGCAGCCAGCATCCATTCAATAGCCCTCTCCCAGGGCGGAAGCAAGGGATAGGGCAGCGGGGCACTGAGTCACAGGTCCTTGAGTGCCCAGTGCCTGGCAGATGGTCCAGGCTATGTGGATGCCCCTCTGGAACCCAGGAGAATGGGGAGCTTTGGGATGGCATGGTTTGGCAATCAATCCTAAAAGGTCACTTCCAAGTGCCACCGAACCTAGAAGCAGCTTCCCTACCTGGCCTCATGGCCAAGCGGCTATCTGGGCGCTGCCCCATCACCTGCTCTCAGGAACACTGCCATCACCTCAGCCACTGCCTGTGTTCCTATTCCCAAAGTGACTACAATTCACCTCCCCAGGGGGAGGGACAGAGGCAGACACAGCTGAACCTACAGCTGAGCCACAGAGCTGGAGCAGGCACATTAGTGTGACAGGCATCAGGGTCCTGCCACCGCGGGGGGAGCGACCCGCTGATGTTTTGCGATCCTGCATCAATAGCTCCTGAAGCTGGTGATGCATTTGCATTGACCTTTCCAGTGATGACTGATTCCAGTGGGGAATGGGCGGTGGGGCCGCTGCCACTGTTGCTGACAGCCCCTGTCTGGGGGCAGAGGCAAGACAGCCACTGGGAGAGAGTGCACCAATGACCGCCCTGTGCTGGGATGTGCAGGACGGCCTGCTGGGGTTACAGAGTGACACCCCCAGGTCTCAGTCCCCACTCCCCACATTCTGGGCCTCCTCTACCTGGAGTCCCCTATTGTTCCAGGCGTCCTCCACCCAAGCCATCTCCACATTTTTGCTGGGCTGTTTTCCCACCCAGAAGACCTTCCTTTCTCCCTTGCCCTGCCAGTCCCCCTTCAGAGCCTTCTACTGGTCCCTCTTCCAATAGGATGGCTTTTCTCACCACCCCCAGACATCTCAGGCCCTTATTTGGGAGCTATAGTTAATGCTGTCTTGTTTCATTGTTTAAGTTGTACTCACATGGTACACGAGCTGCTGCCTTAATGTGTCATCAAATCCCCTGAAAGTCCATTGAAGAACTGGTGTGGCCTCTGCAAGGAAAACCTGTGTGGACAGGGAGGGGTTGTGACAAGGGTAGAGGTCATGTCTAACTTGGCATCTCTGATACCAGCAGCCATGGGTGTGAACGTTGGTGCAACTCTTTAGGAAAACAGTCTACCCATAATGAATTTCTTTAACTCAAATTTCTGTTTTCGGTACTAAAGACACCATTTGAGATACAGAGAGATATGTCAAAGAACATTCAGTGCATGTTATTACAGGAAAAATAGGAAGGAAGAAACCAGGGCACTTGGACATGACAGAATAGCCAACTCTGGGTGACAAACGTTACTTCTGAATGTGGATATGTTTAGGTTTTCATGGTAAATTTTAAAAATGGGATGTTAGAATAGCAATCATATACGAAAGAGGCATAGAAAAAGACTAGAAAAATATACTGTCTTGTGAACAGTTGTCTTTAGTATAGGAACTTAGGGGTTTTTAATCTTTCTACTTTTCTATATTTCCCCAAGTTTATTCATTAAGTGTGTGTTGCTTTTATAATTGAGACAAAGGTTTGTGGCATATATAGACATGCACAGAACCAATATTCGGACCTCCCTTGCTGGGGAAGAAGCTATGGCCAACCCTCTGCTCCCACCTTCTCCTTTCAGCTGTCCAAGCCCGGGGGACCCCCAGAGCTGCCCCTGTGGAATCAGTCCTTCCTCTTCCAAGGCCGAGACGGAGCTACCAACTTCTCAGAAGATGCCGCCCTGGTGCTGGAGTACTACGCCTCGACTTCAAGTAAGGGCATACGTGTGACAGGGTTTTCAGGCCATCCTGACTCTGCTTCCCACAGGGGTGGTTCCAGAGCCACCTCCCAGTGCACGCAGACAGGCAGGGGAGCACCAGGCTGCCTTTCTTGTCTAAATTGCAGCTCTGGGGTATGGCCCTATTCCCATACTGGGTCCGTGTGGTTTTATTGCACCACCCCCCCTCCCCATGCACTTATCAGTGAGGTGGGTGGAGGTGGGGCCCTCAGGACTCACATCCTGAAGAGTGGGGAGGAGACAGATTCTGAGAATAGCTGATCCACCGTCTTCAGTCCACACTGTAAGACTGAAGCCTCCAAAACCAGGGACAAGAGAGATACATACCAATACCCAGAGGCAGAAATATGCCTAGAGCTGGCCTTGAACTCAGTAAGCCCTGAAGAGCAGAGAAGGAGGAGGGTATTTGCGGGCAAATGCCAGGAGGCGGGTGGTGAGGGATGGGAGGGTTGGGTACCAAAGGATGGGGCCCAGGTGGGGCTGGGATCTGAAAAGCCTGAGGAGGGACTTTGTTGGGAGCCTCAGCTTGTCCTCCCCCCTCCACAGTGAAAGGCGGTGAGTCGTGGACCTTCAGCAAGCCACTGGGAGTCTCCGTGTTGCCATTAAAGAGCCATTTGTACCCTGAGATGCTGAGAGGGAAAGGCCTGAATGGGTTGCGAATAGAGAGGCTCCCCATCACCGTGAGTCTGCCACCTGGCAAGTCCACCCAGCCCCACCCTACCCCACCTTGCTCCTCCATGCCTCACCAACACAGGCGAATCTGGCTTCTCCAGCAGCTTCCAGCAGGCCCCCCACTCTTGACACTGAGGATGTGAGGAGTATCCACAGACACCAGAAGTCTGTCTTGCCCTTGGGCTTGTGATGAAATTGCCCCAGAGCAACTTGGGGAGGAGTACAGGGATGTTCCATGGGATAGCAGCAAGAGCTCAGGCCTCCGTCCAGCCAGACCTGAGTTCAAACCCTGACTTGCCCTGGTCCTCACGGTAGAAGCTGGGCCACCTTACTTGACCGCTCTAAATCTCAGAGTGCCCATCTCTAAAATGAGAGCATGTTTGTATACAGTCTCTCTGTTTAATACGAATTGAGAGCTCAAACTCAAGAGCCAGATTAACTGGGTTCAAATTCTGGTCCTACCACTTACTTACCAGCTTACATGACTGTGGGAAAATTACTTAAAGTCTCAGCACCTCAGTTTCCTTGTCTGTAAAATGGGTTCATAGTAATAGTACTTTTTTCATAGGTTTGCTGTGAGATTTTGGGGGAAATGCCCATAAAGCACTTAGAACAGAATAAGTTCTCAATAAGAATTAATACATTATTATCATCATTGTCTACCTCTATGCCACCTTTTTCACTAAAATACTTCTAGTCATATGGTCATAATAGACCTCCACTAATGGGAGCTTCCCTACTCACCAGGAGGCAAGTCTGAAGGTGCCAGTCAGGCCTCCAGTGGAGTGGGGAAGGGTGTACGGAGCAGTGAGGCTGAGTAAGGAAGGGGACCTAGCCCTCAGCAGGCACCTTCCTGAGTAATCAGAACAGTGGGCTCAGCAGAGGCAGAGCTGCCCTGGACATCATGGTCTGACTGCTCCCTTTTTCTCTCTAGGACACCAAGCTGAAAACCATAAATGGCGAGGCCCCCACGGTGGATCTCTCCTTTCAGCTGCTTTCCTCTGAGGTAAGGCTGAAGGTCAGATTGTAGTCGGGGGCTGGAAGCCCTGTGCCCCCTCCAGTAGCCCCTCGGTGCATCCCAGCCTCCTTCACAATTGCTGGCCTTGTTCAAGGCTGGGGTCAGGGCTTCAGAGAGGAGGAAACTGCCGCTTTGGATGGAAACACCTGAGGGTGACTTGAGGCTGCAGAAAACCAGAGAGAACACTTAGTTAGAAAGAGGAGAGTTGGAGGAGAGAGCCTGGGAGTTGGCCTCTAACCTGTTCTAAGCCAAGCCTGGCTCACTGGGCTTGAGGTTCCACAGGGTGAACCAGGCCATCAGCTTCTGTAGCTTATAACAAACTGCCACAAACCCAGCAGCTTAAAAAACACCACGGATGAGCTCAGACTCTGCAGTAGGCAGTCCTGCACAGCGCGGCTGAGATCTGAATGCTCGCAGGGTCATGCTCCTTCCTGGAGGCTATGAAGACTGAGCTCCTCGCCTCATTCAGGTCGTCAGCAGAATCCAGTCCTGGCAGTTGTAGGATGGAGGTCCCTGTTTCCTTGCTGGCTGTCAGCGCAGGGCCTCTCTCAGCTCCGAAGACTGCCCACATTCTTTCTTACCATGGCCTCCTCCATCTTCAAGCCAGCAGCATGCTAAATCCCCCTCAAACTCCCAAACTCTGGATTCCTCTTCTGTCAGCAGCCAGCGAAAATGTTCTGCTTTTCAAAGGGTCATGTGAAAAGGTTATGCCCACTCTGATAACGTTCCCATCTTATGGTGCCCTGTGCTGTATAACATAAGCACAAGAGTGACAGCTCAGCATGCTCACAGGTTCCGGGAATTAGGGTGTGGCCTCTTGAGGGCCCATTGTAGGGATGCTGCTACCACAGCTGGGTTGATCCAAGTGGAAAAATACCAGGGGCTGAGCCCTGCCTGATGGATGAGTCTCTTCCTTTCTAGCCAATGATACCTGGGCTCTGAGTCCAGATTGGCTCCGTCATTTGGCCCCAGTGCACCTTGCAGTCCACCTGCTGGAATTTTTTCACTGTCCCTTCTGGGGTATAACCAGGAATGTACCAGCCTATAGGTGCCTCCCCACAAGGCCTCTGGTGCGTGTCTGAGACCTCCCATCAGCATGCCCTGCTGTGCAATGTTCTGCATTGCCTTCTAGAGCATCCTCTAATTCCTGTGAGAGAGCTTGTTAGGTAACTGACATACCCGCTACCAAACCAGGACCCAGAAGGTACTGAGAGGGGAGAACACAGAAGCAGCAAAAGACACCAAGAAAGGGGAAGGACGGTCCTTGGAGAAAAATGCCACAGATTACCCAAATTAGAGCTCAGCGCTCCACGCCTTCTTCTCAGGGTCTAGAGCAACCGTGGGCAAACTATGGCCCGCGGGCCAGATCCGGCCCATTTGAAATGAATAAAACTAAAAAAAAAAACAGACTGTACCCTTTTATGTAATGATGTTTACTTTGAATTTATATTAGTTCACACAAACACTCCATCCATGCTTTTGTTCCGGCCCTCCGGTCCAGTTTAAGAACCCATTGTGGCTCTCGAGTCAAAAAGTTTGCCCACCCCTGGTCTAGAGTCTGCCAAGGGCCACTGCCAGCCCTTTCCTCACCTCCCCCTACCTCCTGCCCTTTCGCTGGGGCAAGTGTGCTCCGAGGACCCAAAGGAGCATCAAGCAATCAAGGCACTGGGGGATCCAGGCAGGCAACAGGCAGGTGTGCCGTACACTTTCCCAGTTGCCCAGGGGCTGGGCACAAAGATCTTGGTGATGAATTATTCACCGGAGCTGTGCTAAGTGCAGAATTAATCCCTTTCCTTCCAGCTGGCGACCTCACTAAATTATCCCTCCAAGTCATGCGGGAAAACGCTGTGAATTCATTGAGCTGCTGAGTGTTTTGATCTGGCCTTGTGATTTTAGCTTTCCCTTCCTCCACTCCCCCTCCCCCTGGAGGTGGGTAAAAACCTTTCAGTAATGGATTTCTGAGAAGAAAGGAAAAGAAAGAGGGTGGAGATCGGGTGTGTACCAGGAAAAATAATACTAGAGGAAATTCAGATTCTACAGCCAAGAATTCATTCACACAGTTCCACACATATACACTCACACAATAGCATTCAAATAACCACACAGTCACATGTGCACAAAGGCACACACACATACACCTTTGCCAGGGTGCCCACATTTAATACATATATGCATGCTCATACACACATGCAAACTGACACACAAATATTTTCACACATAGGACTGCAGGCCTTCATCTCTGCGTTCCAGCCTGTGGGACCAGAACCATTGACTCTTCCACCATTTAAATCAAACACGTTCCAAAGCCATCCCTGCAGGCTGGCAGTCCTTGAGCACATGTGACACTCCAGCTGCAGGGGCTTGTGATAATGGGCTCCTCAGAGCCCCGTGTCCATGTGGCGAACAACTCTGCCTTAGGTGCAGCTCCTTGCTCATGGTCAGATGTGCTGTGGAGAGGAAATAACTCAGGAAAAATAAATATGCCTGCCTTCCTGCGTGAGGACACAGCCTGCTTTTCTGGGAGCCTCCACAGGATAACACAGACCATCCTGGTTAATTGACATTTTGGTGAACACAGTCCCCCCACCCACTGCTCCCATTCTCAAAGCTCTAGGAACAAGAGCACTGTGGTCTATTCCAAATTAGGCACACTCAGCAGCCCACCCTGGACAGGAATCTCCTTGACAACATCTACTATGCGTGGTCAGCCCAGCTTCTCCTCTTGCTCTGCCTTGACCAGGAACTCACTACCTCTAGAAGCAACCCATGCCATGGCTCAGTAGCTACAACTGATAAAAACACTCAACCCCCACTGAGCCCACCCTGCCTCCAAGGGCCCTCCCTCTGCCCCAGGCTCCTGACTCTGCCCTCTGGGGCTGCAGAGCAATGCCAGCAAGCCTCCTGCACCGGTCGAGAGACACTGGGACGTGGTCAGCCACCCAGCATGCTGGTGGGCAGACTAGCCAACAAAGCCAGCCATTTCAGTGAATGGCAAGAACGGGTGGTCTCCTGGTTTGGGATGTTGTGCCTAAAGCTGGTTGTGTTGGTGATTGATTAAGCTTTTCCCTCCAGTGGGGCTTCTCGATGGGACCTGCTGCTTCGAGTGATCTGCCTCAAGCGGAACTGTGTATATACATGAGTAGGTGTATAGCTACGCACAGATACAAAGAAAACTTCCCTTATTGCACATTCTGTGGGGGTTGGCCTTGGAGGCCCACTGTGCTCTAAGAACCCCTGAGCTTATGGCTACTCCCCATATACACACACGAATAAGCCTTTGGTCTCCTCCACTCCCTCTCTGATGTTGGCCTCTTCCCTTTGAAGAGTGCGATCTGCTCCTCCGAGAGTCTATGCTTCTCCAGGCTACGCAGCCTCCTCTTTTAATGAACTGGCTTCAAATTCCCGAAGACTCCTGGGTGCCCTCCAGCTCACAGACATCCTCTTTGAGTGAGGCCCACCCTGACCAGGTTCTCTAGGCCCAGCCGTGTGCACTGGGGCCTGGTGCGCACATTAGTGCTCGCTGTGTGGTCTCAGCCTCCCATGAGGTAGGACAAGTCCATGCAGTCATTGGGTCCGCTCTTAGGGCTGGGGTTTGGGATCCAGAGTCTTGTCCAGGCCGGGTGCCAGGGCACCAGACAGAGGTAGCCCACAGCCCTGAGAGATGCTGGCAGGACTTGAAACCCACAGGCTCTCATGGATTTGGGCACAGGGAGGACACACGTGAGGAAAGGAGGAATCTGCTGCCACCCCTTGGGGGAAGGGGTGGCTCCCACAGTCAGCCTGCCCCCCCCCCAATCCCCTCACAGAAAGGGGCAGGTGGGGCTTTGATACCATGCTGCCCTGGTGTTTTAATTCAAACCACTGATTACAAAACTATCTCTGGAGACCTGCCCAAAGTGGGGGCATAGGCAGGACATAGGCTGCTGGTTTTGATTGGTGAATTTTCATGAATTTCTTTGAAAAGCACACATGATAGCCACAGGCTAGTTCTCTGAGAAGCCCCAACGCAAGCTTGCCTCCATACCCTCACAAGCACAGCTGCCTGAAGGCCCAGTGTCCGGGATAGCGTAGCCTCCTTGGCTGGTCTGTCATCCCAAGATGCCAGCTCTAAAAATACTACCATAAGGACAACAGTGGATCCAGAGAGAGAGACCCTGTCCCCTCCCACAACCTCACAACATCCCTGCCTATCTTTCCTTCTGCCCCAAACCGCTACAACCTGTTCAGATTCTAGGCTCAAAGGGAGCAGCGAATGGTGGGTAATAGGCAAGAGCCTGTGGTTTTCCAGGGTTCACTATGCCTGAACCCATCCCATTAGTGCTCCATGCCTTGGGGACAAATATTGGTCCCCCCACAGTCTCTTGGTTATCATACAACTCCCCACCTGATGCTCTCCACCTCAGGGAGGGAGATTGACACTCCCTCCAAACCACAGGGTTCTACAGAATCTACTTGCTCACTTCTTGTGACAGGAAGCTCATTACCTCCCAGGAAGCCCTTTCCAGCATCTGTCAACTCCTTTGTAAACCTCTTCCTTCTGTCTCTCTCCAGTTCCTCTCCCTGACCCCACCTTTTCTTTCCTAAGACCAGCCTCACAGAAGTCAGCTCCCAGGCCCACATCAACTCTACTGCTGCCTGCAAACTTGTTATATCATCTCCAGCCTGACCAGCTCTCCTCCCTCTGACTGATCTTTGTCACACTTGGTTTCTGCTTCTCATCCTCCTGGTCGTCTCCTCTTGACAAGACTCCTCTTAAAACTCCCCCAAAACATGGGGCTGGATCAACATTGACGGATAGAATAGGACCATTACCCCTTTCTCCAAACACATTCTCCCCTTTGGTACAGCCAAAGTCTGTCATTTATTTTATTACTAACCAACACTACAGGGGTCCATTGAAAGTCTGTGGTCTAGTCTGGCATGTGAGCCATTGTCAACAGCACATCTTCACCTCTGCTGCTCTATTTTGACCTTGGACAGGGTTCTCT